TCTGTCTGCTCTCCCTTTCCCCCACTCCCCACTGTGTCATTAATTGTCATTAATTGTCTTCATATCAAAGTTGAATACATAGGATTCATGCTTCTCCATTCCTGTGATACTTCACTAAGAATAATGTGTACCACCTCCATCCAGGTTAATACAAATGCTGCAAAATCTACGTTTTTTTAATGGCTGAATAGTATTACATGGTATTACAATAATATTACACATATACCACAGCTTGCCAATCCATTCCTGAGGGGCATTTAGGCTGTTTCCACATTTTAGTGATTGTAAATTGAGCTGTGATAAACAAGTCTAGTACAAGTATCTTTATAATAAAAGGGGTTTTTTCTCAGTAATGGGATTGCAGGATCAAACGAGAGGTCTTGGTTGAGTTCTTTGAGATTTCTCCATACTTCCTTCCAAAAAGGTTGTATTACTTTGCAGTCCTACCAGCAGTGTAAAAGTTTCCTTTCTCTCCACATTCACACCAGCATCTGCAGTTTTTGAGATTTTTGTGATATGGGCCATTCTCGCTGCGGTTAGGCGATTATCTCAGGGTAGTTTTAATTTGCATTTCTCTAATAATTAGGGATGATGAGCATTTTTTCATATGATTGCTAGCCATTCATCTGCCTTCTTTAGAGAAGGTTCTGTTCATCTCTCTTCCCCATTGATGTATGGGATTGTTGGCTTTTTTCATATGGATTAATTTAAGTTCTCTATAGATCCTAGTTATTAAGCTTTTGTCTGATTTTAAATATGCAAATATCCTTTCCCATTGGGTAGGTTGTCTATTTGCTTTGGTTGTTGTCTCCTTGGCTGTACAGAAGCTTTTCAGTTTAATTAAATCCATTTGTTTATTTTTGCAGTTGTTGCAATTGCCTTGGCAGTCTTTTTCATAAAGTCTTTCCCCAGGCTGATATCTTCCAGTGTTTCTCCTATGCTTTCTTTGAGGATTTTTATCATTTCATGCCTTAAATTTAAGTCCTTTATCCATCTTGAATCAATTTTTGTGAGTGGAGAAAGGTGCAGGTATAGTTTCAGTCTTTTACATGTGGATATCCAGTTCTCCCAGCACCATTTATTGAATAGGGAGTGTTTCCCCCAGTGTACATTCTTGCTTATCAAAGATTAGGTGGTTGTCAGTTGTTGGTTTCATTTCCTGGTTTTCTATTTGATTCCAAATGTCTATGTCTCTGTTTTTGTGCCAGTACCATGCTGTCTTGACCACTATGGCCATGTAGTACAGCCTAAAATCTGGTTTGGTGATGCCCCCGGCTTTGTATTTATTACTAAGAACTACCTTAGCTATACGGGGATTTTTCTGGTTTCATACAAAAGGCAGAATCATTTTTTCCAAGTCTTGAAAATAGGATGTTGGTATTTTAATAGGGATGGGTTTTAATTGGTAGATTGCTCTGGGAAGTATAGACATTTTAACGATGTTGATTCTTTCAAGCTATGAGCATGGTATGTTCTTCCATTTGTTAAAGTCCTGTGTTATTTCCTTTCTTAGGGTTTCATAATTTTCTTTATAGAGGTCCTTCACCTCTTTTGTTAGGTATATTCCTAGGTATTTCATTTTCTCTGGGGCTATGGTGAAGGGAGTTGTGTCCTTAATTAGCCTCTCATCTTGACTATTGGCGTATACAAAGGCTACTGACTTGTGGACATTGATTTTATATCCTGAGACATTACTGTAATTTTTGATGACTTTCAGGAGTCTTGTGGTTGAGGTTTCGGGATTCTCTAAGTATAAGATCATATCGTCAGCAAAGAGGAGAGTTTGACCTCCTGTGTTTCCATTTGGATGCCCTTTATTTCCTTGTCTTGTCTAATTGTATTAGCTAGAACTTCCAGCACTATGTTGAATAGTAATGGTGACAGAGGACAACCTTGTCTGGTTCCAGTTCTAAGTGGAAAAGCTTTCAGTTTAACTCCATTCAGTAAAATTAGCTGTGGATTTGCCATAGATAGCTTCAGTCAGTTTAAGAAATGTGCCACCTATGCCTAAACTCTTCAGTGTTCTAATTAAAAAGGATGCTGGATTTTATTGAATGCTTTTTCTACATCTATTGAAAGGATCATATGCGCTTTGATTTTGCTTCTGTTGATATGGTGAATAACGTTTAAGGACTTGCGTATATTAAACCAGCCTTGTATCCCTGGGATGAAACCTACTTGATCATGATGTATGACTTTTTTGATGATAAGCTGTAATCTGTTCGCTAGGATTTTGTTGAGAATTCTTGCATCTGTATTCATTGTGAAATTAGTCTGAAGTTCTCCTTTTTAGTTGGGTCTTTTCCTGGTTTTAGTATCAGGGTGATGTTTGCTTCATAGAATGTGTTGGAGAAAATTTGTTT